CTCAAAGACGACACTAGGTCAATAATCCATTAGGGATATTTGACTTCTTTATTAAAGACGTAGTGTTTTCCAACATCGTTAAAAGTCGTAGATCTTCCCAAGATACGCTTGGGGCTTACCTTTCTCCTTAGCAAGACAAAATATACTTTGAGCTTAAAGCAAGGTAATTATCAAAGATTAGTAGAAGTAAATCAAAATACAACATTGTTATAAATCCAAGGACCTCAATAGGATCTAAATATATTACGGGAGAGAAAGTCTGGAAAAAAGATATGCCCTATGTTATAAAAGATTTGCCACGTCCGTTCATGTCATCGTGCTGGTTTAGAAAGCGCATGCAAGTAAGAATAGGTAAAGTTGTACCTCATCTTTAGTGGAGAATCATGTTTCAGGCTTCTTTTGTTCGGACATTTCATCCTTTCGGGATTCATGCCCGGGAGGCTTATGTACATTCCGAAAATTATCTGGCCGACCGAGGTATGAAATTGAAATCAGGGTATAGTGAATGGGGAAAGAATCGAGATGGTTTCAGATATGGATGAGTGATTGGGTCAAGAGTCCAGACTGAGATTATTGAACCTGAGGCCAGTATACAACCGGGAAATATATGCTTCATACATCCCGAATTTAATTACATAGCCCAGAATAAGTCATTTACACACTAGAAATTTGTGATTGGTCATAACTCTGGTATAGTCCTGATGTACTCTTTATCGAGATACATTCCCACCTCAAAATATGAGAGGTTGTATCTAATGGCCCGTTTCCGTTACAACAGTTCAATCAATATATGAATTCATTATGTAATAGTTAATAATTGAATCAGTTAAAAGTGGTTAATAATTATTAAAATGTATTAACACCATGCCTCTTCAACATCTAGTAACTGAGAAATGCTTGAGATATAAATAAAGGTTGAAAACCAAACATTGAGGAAAAATCTACACAATGAAAACATAAAAATGAGAAAAACCTTTGAGAAACTTTAGACCACCAACAATGATGCTTACTGATCCGTCCTAAGATACTTGCTGCCGTGTAGAACGATTATAACCTTCCCTGATTAACATTAGGGAGATTAACTCGTTAATGTTTTTAATATATATATATATATATATATATATATATATATATATATATATATATATATATATATATATATATATATATATATATATATATATATATATATATATATATATATATATATATATATATATATATATATATTAGTCTTTTTATATACATATTGGATTATTGGATTATGCGAGAACAAGGCCATGTGAATAGTAGAATAATATCTTGATTCTTCTAATAAAAAAATGGCAACTCTAGGGCGGCTGTACGGGAAATCATAACTAACAATCTTACGTAGTAGTATAAGCATTCTTTATATAGTCAATTTCAGAACTAACTATTTTGGTCAGATTCCAATATCAATATTTGACTCATTACCCAACCAGTAACCTTACTAACACTATTTTTAATCTACTCATATACGTAAAACCTAGTATTTTATAGAAAAAGACAAGTTTCAAAACATAGCGAAAAGGGTAACGGAACTTGAGGTCACATAATACAACAGAACCAAAACAGAGAAATTAAGAAAACAAACAAATAAACTCAAACGTCACATTGGTCTTATTCAGTGGAAATTACACGCCAAAACCAATAATCCATTTCCTTTTTCTTCACTTTCTAGATCTATAAATCTCTTTTCTTTTCATTTCCATGAATTTCACTTCCCCAATTAATTTCTAGATATCTTTCTTCAATCAATTTTAATTTTGGGTTCTAGTTTTAGGGTTTTTTTTTTCTTTATACGGTTGGAGAACTTGATTATGTCTTGAAAAAAATGTGAATTTGAAAACTTGGGACTGCGTCAAAGTAGAAAAAGGTAGTTTCTTGGAGAAGATGAAGAAGCAATTGACAGGTTTAAGGGGTGATTCTCACCTTCACTCGGCGGTTAGAGTTGGGAATTTGGAGTTGGTGTTGGAAATTATCTCTGAGAGTCAAGGTGATGAATTGAAGGAGTTGTTTTCAATGAGAAATAACTCTAGTGAAACTGCCTTGTATATTGCTGCTGAAAATGGTCATCTTGATATAGTGATGGAATTGGTCAAATATCATGATATTGGGTTGGCTAGCTTAAAAGCTAGAAATGGATTTGATGCTTTTCATGTTGCTGCTAAAAATGGAAATTTGGGTAAGTTTGTTAGATTTTAAATGTTTATATAATGTTTAGGTGTGGGGTTTTTACTATATATGGTACCCATGGGTTTAAGTTGACAGCATTTAATGCAACCAGAATTTCAAATGTTTATTGTATCTTGGTCTATGCAAATACATCATTGATCTCCTATATGATTAGGTCTTAGGGTGTTTGATAAACCCATTTGTGATTTGATGTACTTTTAAGCTGATTAATCTTAGTTTTGATGAATGGTTACATCAACTCTTTGCTCAACATGGCAAGGAATTTGGTTATTGGTTGAATTAATACCCAATAATGGTTATATATTGTTCCATAAAGGAACCGGAGTTATTGGTGAAACAAGCAGAGTTGATCCAAAGAACGGTGCACTGAACTTCTGGTCCGGTGGCTTGGGGTGTACTTGCAAGATTAACACTCAAACGCCCAAGTCAGTGAGATTATGAGAAGTGATGCAAAGTGGAAATGGATTTGAATTACCTAGAAATGGTGTGCTTCCTCTCTTTATGGTGGGGCGGTTAGAACGGCTAGTGTGGGACGTAGCTCGTTGTGTGGTGGACCGTCTGATTGATCTGGACGGTGTATGATGCGTAAGAGTTTGGAATTACATACCCCTGTTGATAGTGAGGGCTTAACTGCTCCACGCGTATGCATCCTCAGCATTCGCCTCTAGGTTTTCCGTATTGGACCTTTTGGGTGGCCTAAACATATATTATTTGCCTATGATTTCAACTATTGTTTCCATGTATACGAAATCTTTATGACCACTATAATCTTGAAATCTGTCTGAGTCCTTTTCTCTTTTTCTGGTTTCTAGAGATATTGAAGGTTCTCACGGAGGCATTTCCTGAAATTTCTATGACGGTTGATCTGACAAATACTACTGCACTGCACACTGCTGTGTCACAAGGACATATTGAGGTAGTAAATTTTCTCTTAGAGAAAAGCAGCAGCGTCGTAACTATAGCAAAAAGTAACGGAAAAACTGCATTTCATTCTGCTGCAAGAAATGGCCATGTGGATGTCATCAAGGCCCTGCTTAGCAGTGAACCTGAAATCGCAATGAGAATCGATAAGAAGGGGCAAACTGCACTTCACATGGCAGTTAAAGGACAAAATCTGGAGGTAGTAGATGAGCTGTTGAAACTGAACCCGTCTTTTGCTAATATGGTGGATGCCAAGGGAAACACTGCGCTGCATATAACAACTCGGAAGGGTCGTTTACAGGTTTGAAAAATGCCTTTTTTTCTCTTTCTTATGATATGAAGCACTGAACTCATGGCCTAAAACACATTTTATTGTGAGGCCTTAAAAAATAACATAAGATGTTTGGAAGCCTAAAAATAACATACCGTAGTATGCAAACTTATCTTAGGATTCTTGTGCTAATCTTGCAGATTGTTCAGAAGCTACTAGATTGCAAAGAAATAGACACTGATGTTATTAATAAATCTGGAGAAACAGCTTTGGATATTGCAGAGAGAAATGGTCGCTTGGACATCGCCAAATTTTTGCAGGATCGTGGAGCTCAAAATGCTAGGTCCGTCAAGTCTCCTTCTGCGAATAGAGCCCTTGAACTCAAACGAACTGTGAGTGACATAAAAAGCGGGGTTCATAACCAGCTGGAACACACGTTTAAAACACAGAGGCGTATGAAGGGCATAGCAAAGCGAATTAACAAGATGCAGGCTGAGGGGCTTAACAATGCGATAAACTCCAACACCATAGTTGCTGTCCTCATTGCAACAGTTGCTTTTGCTGCCATATTTACTGTCCCAGGCCAGTATCCTCAGAACAGGACACAACTCGCTCCTGGAATGTCTCCTGGGGAAGCCAATATCGCTCCCAATATTGAGTTCTTGATATTTGTAATCTTCGATTCTACTGCCCTTTTCATATCATTGGCTGTTGTGATTGTCCAAACATCCGTAGTTGTTATTGAAAGGGAAGCAAAAAAACAAATGACGGCGATTATAAATAAGTTAATGTGGATAGCCTGTGTGTTAATTTCTGTGGCATTTCTCGCAATGTCATACATAGTCGTCGGGGATCAGAAAGAATTGGCTATTGCAGCCACAGCTGTTGGAACGGTGATTATGGCAGCTACTCTAGGAACGCTCTGTTATTGGGTGATTGCTCACCGCCTCGAGGCTTCCAGATTACGAAGTCTTAGAACAATGACGAGCAGTAGGCAGTCATTGACTATGTCAGGGATCTCAGCTTCCGAGAATGAGTACAAAGCAGTGTACGCAATATAAATTTGATTTTATCTTTTCTTAAAAACCCTCCCCCCACTTTTTTGTCGAATTATGCTAACATAGAAGCAGGCATTTGCTGATTTATAGCATGCCTTTGGAAAACACAGGCAAAGAATGGAATTATAGTCCAGATGATAAGTAAATATGTCATTTTATATCGAAATATTAGATCGTCATGCTCATTTTCACAATATTAGCTTACTTTGAACACCATTCAAACCTACTGGACTCTTAGACATATTGTTACTTTCTGCATCACACTGACGAAACTCGATAAACCAAAAAAATCGAGTATTGAAATAACTAACATTAATTTTGATATCTTGTATTATTATTTTATTATATTTTTAAACTTTTTTTGTTTTGTTTATTACACCATTAACATACTGAATATTCAAACTGCATTTAAATAAAAAGTTCATTCTTCTTTAACACACCCTCTCTCCTTATGTTTTGAGGCAACTTCTGTCTGTTTCTTACTTTCCACCAATTCTGCAACTTTTGAAGCTAACTTCAAGCAAACCTTGTCATCATGCATGTGAATCTTTGTTTGAACCATTCCCTTGTTGAGACTGTTTACAATGCGCGATAGCTCCCAAAATGGAATCTTCCATCTCAGAATTCAAATCAATTGAAAAATACGAAGATGAAGAAGATCTTCTGTTTTGGTTAGCGACGCCGTTTTCACCATATTTCGGTTTGTTCAACGCAGTTTTTGTAAACAAAGACTTCAAGTAAGCTTTGTAAGAGTTGAGCTTTTGAACCAGCAAGAATTTCCTACAATGTTTCAACTTCTTTAACCAATGTTCCTTTGATTTAGTGGAAGATTGAAGTAGATATTCAGATGGATTTGAATCACAAGAACTGAAACTGAGAGGCTGTGATCTTACAAAACCAAAAGGGGTGTTGGCATTGTAAGGAAGCTGATGAAGAGGCATTAACATGTCTTTGTTTTGTTGTTGGGGTGATAAATTTTCATAAGGACTCAAAAACATGTCAATGTAGTCTTCATCTATACGAATAAATGCTACTTTTTTTGTAGCCATTTTTCAAGTGAGTGATGGTGATTTTGATCTCTATTTGTGTGACTGAGAAGATGGATATATGGCTAAGGGAAATTGAGCTTAACTTCTTTTGGGAAAGAGGAAAGAATCAATGTATTATTTCATGTTAATTGTGATGAAAGGTGTGACCAATGTGTGATTTATATAAGTTTTTTTTTTAATTAATTAATTTATAAAATTGGAAAATAAAGAATTTAAGCTTTAATTAACTACACTCCTCTTTTATCATTTGAATTAACCATATAAAGAGTTAAAGCTTAAACTCTTTATATATATTTTATTAAATCAATTATCAAATAAAAAAATTATGGAATAAATCAACTCCATAATTTTTTTTCTAAATTTTTAAAATTACTTGATGCTTCATGAAATAATTTCGAACTATAACAAGAAGAGTTTATTTTTTAGAGTTGTTAATTTATAAATTTTATTAATGATTTTTTTAAGAAATAATTGAGTTCATTTACAATTTCATATATTATGAATCACTTGCAATATAAATTCATATTTGAGTAATAAATTAGTTGAAGGATATATAGGAAGATTCATGTCTTCTAGTTGTATTTGTATCTTGTTCCTATAAAAAAAAATTGAATTTTAATTCTATTTTTGGGTTTATTTTGATCCCAAAAATCAATATGCAACTAGTATGCCAAGATGTTATTTTCACTTCAAATATAAAGGTGGGCATTTTTATTGTTTTGTCACTTCTAATATTTCCATTGTTTTTTTAGGGATAATACTTGAGTGATTATATAAGAACATATTAATTTAAAGTTCTCAATATTAAAATCATATAAATTTATCTCTATCTCAAACTTGGAAGAAAAAAATATAGTATAAATTAGACCAAGAACCAAAAGAAATTGGGCTGTGCCAACAGATATAGAGAGACCAACCATCATTAAAAGGAAACAAAATTGTCCATATATTGGTCAATTGGTCAATAGAAAGAAAGAAAAAACTAATACTTCATTTATTTGTTAGTTGGAAATTAAAACCCAATTGAATTATATGTGTATAACTTTAGTTTTATATTTTTAAATTGTGCAGTATATTTTTATATATTGTGTGATAATCTAATTTTTGAAAAAAAGATGACTATGTTTTAACGTAGTATTTTTTTATATATTGTGTGATAATTTAATTGTGCAGTATATTTTTATATATTGTGTAATAATTTAAATGGACATGTAGGAAGCGTAGTAAGAGGTTTTAAGGGCATGCATGAGATATGGTCTCGTGGAGGTAAATGTAGACGGTAAATCTATTTTGGACTTTTCACTGGCCTTTGATCTTACTATAACTAATACCTTATTTATAAAAAGAGATGAGCATCTTATCACATATAAGAATGGGGTGACATGTTCTTAGATAGATTTATTTCTTATTCAGAAGTCTGATAGGAATATTTGTTTGGACTACAAAGTTATTGCATGAGAGAAATTGACTACCAATCATAGAGTATTGGCTATGGATGTAAGAATCAAGAGGAAAGCTAAGATAATAAGTCACATGGGAGCATCAATTAGATTATCACAAAGAAGTGAAAATGATATGTAGAACAAGATGGCTCAAGAGATTAGAAAAGTAGCTAAAGAGACGTTAGGAGAATCAAGAGGTTTTGGACCTAGGGGTAAAGAATCGTGGTGGTGGAATGAAAGTGTTCAGAGTAAATTTAGAGTTAAAAAGGATTGTTTTAAAGATGGTCTAACTGTAAAAATGCCGAAATTTGGGAAACGTATATGAAAGCTAAGAACAAAATTAAGAAGGCGGTGAGTGAGGAAGGAACTCAAGCTTTTGACAAATTATACCAATCTTTAGGAACTAATGAGGGAGAAAATTTTATATATATGCTTGCTAAGGGAAGAGAAAGAAATACATGAGATTTTGATCAACTGAAGTGTGTTAAAGATGTAGATGGCAAAGTCTTAGTTCAGGAAAAAAATATAAAGGATATGTGGAAGATGTATTTCTATCATTTATTTAATGAAAGATATGATAGCTCATCAGACTCTAGAAGACTCGACATTAGAGAAGAGGGACGAAACTATAATTACTACTATAAGATTCAAAAACAAGAGGTAAAAGAAGTGTTGAAAAGTATAAGTAAAAAATAAGGCAGTTGAGCTAGACAACATACCTATTGAAGTGTGGAAAGTTTTTGGAGATAGAGCTATTGAGTGGCTCATCAAACTCTCTAACAATATTATAAGGTCAAGGAAAACTTTGGATGAATGGAGGAGAAACACTTTAGTCCAAATTTATAAGAATAAGAGGGATAAACAAATTGTGTAACTTATAGAGGAATTAAACTTATGAGTTATACCATGAAGTTATGGGAAAGAGTGATTGAACGAAGATTAAGAAAAGATACTCAACTCATTGAGACTCAATTTGGTTTTATACCCGGAAGGTCGACAATATAAGCGATCTATTTATTAAGACGAGTGATGAAGCAGTATCAGATGGACCAACAAGACTTGCACTTAATTTTATTAACTTGGAGAAGGTGCGTGATAGAGTGCTTAGAGAGATCTTATGGAAAACCCTAGAGAATAAAGGGGTTAGGATTGTATATATTTGAGTTATCCAAGATATGTATGAAGGGGTATTGACTAGTGTTTAGACATACTGTGGAGAGACAGACGATTTTCCAATTACAATAGGTTTGTACCAATGTTCAACCCTAAGTCCCTACCTTTTTACATTAATTTTGGATGTATTTACGGAGGACATCCAAGATCTAGCACCGAGAGGCGTTCTTTTTTGTAGATAATATAGTCCTACTTAGAGAGTTGAAGGAGGATTTAAATGAGAGGTCGTGGAGTTGGAGACGAGCCTTAGAAACACATGGCTTTCGCCTAAGTAGAAGTAAGACGAAACATATGAAATGTAAGTTCAGCAAAAGGAGAAGTGTTTCTGACTTAGAGGTGAAAGTTGAAGACCGTATCATCCTATAAGTCATGCGGTTTAAATATCTTGTGTCCATAATACAAAATGATGGAAAATATAAGGGGGTGTAAACCATCAAATTCAAGTTAGGTGGTTGAGGTGGAAGAGGGCTTCAGGGATTTTATGCGACAAAAAGATACTTCTCAAGTTGAAGGAAAATTTTTATTGAACTCTGGTAAGATTTGTAATGTTGTATGAGACAGAATGTTGGGCACTTAAGAATCAACAAGAGAATAAAATAAGTTTAGCAAAGATGAGGATGTTGTGTTGTATGTATGATAAACTAGACATGATAAGATTAGAAATGACAATATTAGAGAGAGTGTTGGGATAACACCTAGGATATAAAAGACGGTGGAAAATAGACTTCAGTGGTTTGGGAATATGGAGAGAAGACATATCGATTATGTGGTAAGGAGAGTAGATAAGATGTAGAGGATTCAAATAGATAGAGGTAAAGAAAGACCTAGGAAAACTATAAGAGAAGTTATTGAGAAAGATATTGAGCTTAACAATTTAGATAAAATCATGACCTTGGATATAACATTATGGCAAAAGTTAATCCATGTAGCCGATCCTACTTAGTGGGATAAGGTTTGGTTGTTGTTGTTGTTGTAGAGTTTAAAAGTTTACAAAATTAAAAAAAAAATTGTAATGTTAGTGTAAAATAGTTATACAAACACACCTAGTTGAATCTTGCTATTTAGATACATTTTAAAGATATTCTTCAAATAGAACAAAATGAAAAAGAGGTTGGAACATGATTTACTGCAGTTAACAAAACAACAAAGTCACACTGTCAAATATTACAACCATTCGATTTAGATCTGATGTTCTAAATATAATTTTAGTATATTTGAATTAAATAGTAAATGTTAAAAATACATTATTTAGAATCATTAGATCGAGACTAGACAGCCAACAATGTCTTGACTGCATGAACCTATTAACTGCATCAATAATATTTCCTCTAATATGGAGAACAATCAATAGTCTTCATAATGTCATCATTAGAACATGACTGATGCACATGTTTTGAGAGTACTTTTTAAGTTTATATAAAATTGAGTATATGATTCCTATATACAACAAAGGTTCTTATATACAATCAATATTGATGTTAATGAATCAAATCACAATTTTTCAAATATCACCATTAACATGAATGTTTATGATGTTTTCCAATGCAAACAGGAAAAAAAATGTGTTGTCGCGTGTATTTTTTAGAAAAGGAAATAAATGTCTTCTGTTCAAAATTTTGAAGAATTCAAAATAAACATTATACTTTTAAAATTAATTTTTTCGTGAAAACATGTTCTCTCCAAATACGAATTGTATCGAGACGTGTAACATGTATCTCATAGGTATGAAATGAGTTAACCTAGACTTTATAATAATACATGCATGATCAATACACTAGTGTTATGATGTTTTCCATTGCAAACGAACACAATGTGTTTTCACATGTACCTTTTAGGGAAGGAAATAATTATCTTTCGTCATATGTGCGTTTAAAATTTTGAAGAATTTAAGACAAACAACTTTTAAAATTAACATTATCGTTAAAACACGTTCTCTCCTAATATGGATTGTATTGAGGCGTGTAGCGTGTCTCATATGAATGACAGGAGTTAACCTAGACACACATGATCGATATTCTAGTCTTATTATGTTTTCCAATACAAACAGAAAAATGTGTTGTCGTATGTACTTTTTAGGGAAGGAAGCAACGACCTTCCTTCATACGTCCTATCAAAATTTTGAAGAATTCAAAACAAACTTTATACTTTTGAAATTAATTTTCTCGTGAAAACATGTTGCCTCCTAATATGCATTGTAGTGAGGTGTGTCTCCTAGGTATGAAAGCAGTTAACTTAAACTCTAATCATACATTAATGGTTAATATTAGCCTTATGATATTTTTTAATGCAAATGGAAAAAAATGTATGCCACGTGTATTTTTTAAGAGAAGAAAACAATTGTCTTTTGTCATATGTCCCTTCAAAATTTTGAAAAATCGCAAACAA